CGAAACATAATTTTTGCTTATGCCATTGCCGGGGCAAAAGTCAGTACTTTCATGCTCTTTTCCAATCGGCCGGGAAAATCTGAGGGAGCATTAGGCACGCTGCCGGCTTTGTTGACGCCCAATTATTTTCCTGATGCGGACGACGATCATCCAAAAACTCTCCGCATGTGAACACTTAAGCTTTCTTCACTGAACACTTTTTGACAGGTATGTAACAATCGCCGGTCGACTTTGAATTGCGGCCCAGAGTGTTCGAACGGGTAACATGTAACAATCCCTGAATACTTGGTCGAAATGGTAAAATCGGCGCTTGAACGACACCATCAATGGGCGATGGAGCATCCCTATTACCTTTTACTCTTCATCGCAACTTGTCATGTAGAATACTTTTTTATGAAGTTCCTGTTATGTTTTTGCCTTTATACCTTTCGTTTGTAGCATATTCTCCTGCGACACCACCGTCCACATTAATGACCGATCCAATAGCGAACAGTGCCACTCTCCTAGAGTTCCAAGTGATGCACTATGTGTTCGTCGCCTGCTTCACGGTACGCACCAGATACTATGCCATTCCAGGCTTGTTGGTCACTGATCTAATCCCCTGCACAGATGTGCACTTGGGACTGGATACTTTCCATCTCGGAGGAGCTATGCATGCTTCGTGCTACCAGTGGACGGCCGTGGATGTCAAATGGATTGATTGCAGTCTACATGACCCTCCGGTGAGCTCACTACACTGCATCTCTAGCAAATGTCCGACACTGACCTGCATCCAGGGTTAGCGTGCTGGGGTGGTTAGCCACAAACTTTGTCAACGGCAGTATGTCCCTAATCTCATCTGAATACTCAAGTCAAAGTGTCGCTGACTAATAAACAGTCTTATTCCCCGTATCAAACGCCAATGACCAAGCCTCAATGGTCTTCCACTGTATAACCGTCCCCGCTGCATCCTGGCTGTTCTACATCCGCCTCAGCGCGGTCTATCTGCACGACAAACGCGCGACCACAGTCTTTGGTATCCTCTGGGCGGCTGTCTTCGGTGTCTTCATCTTCGAGGCTGTAAGCCGCCGCGCAGAATTTCTCGTCACACACACTTTCGCCCCCGAGAAACTTACTGCGCTGCCATACATTATAAACGCTGTGTATGATACATTGGTGTACCTTGCCATGTCTTGGAAGCTGGCAGCCTTCTCCATCTCAGGCGACACCTGGAGGCACCGGGCACTGTCGTTCTTCAAAGGCGACGGGCTCCTGGGACTCACTACAGCCCTCCTGAGAGGCGGACAAATTTACTATTTGTGCGTTGCCTATTCTTGCTTTCACACATTTCGTATATTGATAACTGATGTATCATCCAGCACCACCATTGTATTTGCCATCGCGTCTATTGTCTGTCAGTACTTGGATCAGATACCCATACCTTATAAGGGCGCAATTGCACCCCCCTACGTTTGCATTGTCAGTATATTGGCATGTCGGATTTTTAGGGAACTCAAGCTCGGTATTTTACCAGGGTATGTGTTCAGGTTATCGTGTCCTGATGTTGGGGATTGATAGGCTGACAACCATTTACATTTGATTCTCCCAGCTGCCTGCCTGTGACAGACGACTACGATCTTGGGTCAGTTGTTTTTGCCAGAATTGATGCACCGCAAGATCGGGCCACGGCAGCCACGCGCACGTTTAAAGACCAGAAATATGTAGACGTATAGTTGAGACTTAGAATGAGGGCTGAGGACGAAGTAGATCGGAAAATGGCAGACGGCGATGGATGTTATTCTCCCTGACTGGATGCTGATTTTATATAGGAACCATGCTATTTTCCCCAGGTTCCCTCCTTCATTGACAGTAATCTTGGAGGGCCGGTTCTTTGGACTTCTACTTGTATTCCAATCGTGTCGAAAGATTATTAGAGCTGTACTGAAATTATGCATATGTACTAGCAGCAGTCGAAATTAACATCCAAAGAATAGTTGATAGAGTACAGCTCCATGGTGTGAAGAGAAGCTCACCAGGTATGCGCGCCGTAAGTTCACAGCCTTTTGTAATCGCTATGCAGTGCCTACCCCGCATTTCAATATAGCGTTTTGTAGCACATCTGATTATGCGGGATGCCTGATTTACATTTCCAATGCATTCGTTGATGCTCTGGAGTGCACTTGCATATTTGCGTCAAGTTGACGCTGGCCGCGCATTGATAAGTAGATTGACAATACTCACATAGCGCACAGTTTGGCATCTAGTCGTCATTCAGACCTGAAGCGGGTAAAGCGGGAACAAGATGCTTACTTTGAACATGCTTTTAGATCTTTTGACACATTGCACTCAGGCAGTCCGCAAACATCCCACCCAAGCGTCTTTTTGCGCACTTTCTTGATTTCCCCCGCAAGGCCGTCACTAAGTTCTTGACTCCACGCTCCCCAAACTTGTAGGGACACAAGCCCAAGGATCTCCTCGCTGTACCTTTGGGACCAGAGCTTCATTAGAGGTTTAAGTCGTGCTCGCAGTGCGGTGGGGATCACCGCTTCTTGATCTGTTTCCTTTATAAAGGTGGTACACATAGTGCTGAGGAGCTGAATTGGGCTAGCAAGTGTTGCCTTTAAATGGGTCACCCGTTCCGGAGTCGTCGTTGCATTGCGCAACTCGCGCTCCAAGTTGAACGCGACATCGGCGATGCGCTCGGCAAGTATACTAGGGAATTTCTTGCCGTTCGCTGCCAGTGGAGTCTGCGATCGGAAGTACTTGGCAAAATACGGGCTGGATTGGAGGTGGACAATCAAGTCGCCACATGGATTGAAGATACGGAACATCGCAATATCGGCTGGGTCTTTGCTTGGAATCACAGGTGGGTCGATGTAGCAATCCACTGTTGCAGGGAGGTAGAGAGCACAGAATTGAGCCCAAATCATTTGCTGTCGTTCCACTGGTTGCATTTCATTTCGACGTAGCTAACGCCAGAAGAATGGTCGTGTCATCGGGCTTGATCCGCGGGCGAAAGAAAATAGAGACAGAGCGTACGAGGATGTTGCCCAATGTCCAGAGTCGCTTCTCTTCCGATTGCCAAGCGTCGACGTCTCCGAGTCCATCTGCATTACTATGGGCCTTCACGCCTGTGACCCCACGCAAGATTTGAATACTATCATATTGAGCGTGTTGTAGCTTCCAACTCACCGATAATAGTGGCAAACGCGTCGGCAGAGAAAACACCTAGTTTCGCAAGATTTCCCGGTGATGTCAAGGCTTCCATTTTCGACAGAGTAGACTTCAGTCGATGGTTGATGGTGATGGTGTTTAGGAGAGAGCGGAGACGCTGGCTCACAGAGGCTCACACTGCACAGGCGGCGGTATGTATCAAAAAAAAGCACAAAAGTGGGCCTAGTGCTCAGGCTGGCAACTTTGCCAAGCATTAATGGGGTAGTGGTAACCTTGGTCGTTGCCATTCGGGTTCTCACAAACTCGACCAGCCGGGGGTTCGATTCCCTCTTAATGCATTGGTTTTTGCTCTAAGTTTGTTTTTTGTTTTTTTGCCGGTGGGTTCGATTGATGATGTACTAACAGTTCAAGCCTCTGCAAGGATGTTTTTTTAGACCGAACCCTTCTCAACGAAACACGAATGAGAGGGAAGGAGTCGCAGAGATGCTGGGCCCATGGTCCGGCGGCGGCGGGGTGTTCGGTCAATCGAGCTTTCCATATCGGGAATCGCCCTCTCTCCAGACATTCACTGTCACCTTCTGCGACTCAGGCTAACAGCAACCCTCTGTTCAAAAACTACGGACAATGGCTTCACGACCCCTGAACGATGATGAGGTACTCAGTGAGATGAACAAGATGGTGCGTAATCTTGCCAGCTATGACCGTATTGTTCCCTAAAGATGAGTCGGGGTGCTATGTAGGTTGCGTTTATCAAGCAAGAGGCGCTTGAGAAGGCACGCGAAATCAAGGTCAAGGCTGATGAGGAATTCGCGATTGAGAAGGTACGCAGCTTGTCAGTCCGATGTGTATTGCACATGGCTCTGGAACTTGCAATTGAATTATCTCCGTCCATCTACAGGCCAAGCTTGTGAAGCAAGAGCAACACACCATCGATGCTCAATATGAGAAGAAGCGTAAAGGGGCTGAGGTTGCTCAGAAGATGTGAGTGCATTGATCAACGCTCGAGGTTACTGACACCATCCGTTCTCAGTGCCCAGTCCACCTTGACAAACAAATCTCGGCTGAAACTCCTTCATCGTCGGGAAGAACATCTCCAGGATCTCTTCTCTACTTCCCGATCTTCCATTCTTGCTCTTGCTGGGGATGACGGACGCTACACCCAATTCCTGGAGGGTATCATCATACAGGGTTTCCTGCAATTGATGGAGAGCAACGTGACAGTATTGGCTCGGAAGAAGGACAGCGAAATCGCCAAGCAGGCCACGGAAGGCGCAGCCAAGCAATACCACGAGATCAGTGGGCGAGAAGTGGACTACGAAATAAAGGCGACACTCAGTGATGACGGGTGTGTCACACTGCTCCTTTACCTTCACACATTCCACTAACTTGGACCAGTGCTGGCGGTGTCAAACTCATGAATGGCACAAATCGCATTACCATTGATAACACCCTGGATGAAAGATTGCGATTGCTCGAGGATTCTGTATGTGAACAACTATCTCCGCTGTTTTGGCTCTTATCCTTCTATGTTTTAGATGTTGCCAGAGATCAGAAAAGACTTGTTTGGCGCGAACCCGAACCGCAAATTCTATACATAATAGCACTGAAATCAATGAACTTTCATTATCACCTCCCATTCACCTTTCCCGCATGTAGTCTGAGGTCTACCAACGCAACTCTCAAACTACAGTTCCACTTCATGAACTAAGGATATCAATATTTCTGGCTTCCCCGGTCGCTTGAGCAAAACATGAGGTTTCTTGTAAATTATCATGAGGTAATGTCAACTGGGCGAATGCAAGTACCTCAGTACAGCAAACTGGAAGGGCAAAAGGGCAAAAAGCAATTGCATTAAGAGGGAATCGAACCCCCGGCTGGTCGAGTTTGTGAGAACCCGAATGGCAACGACCAAGGTTACCACTACCCCATTAATGCCTTGCAAAAGTAGCTCAAGTGAGCATCATTATATCTTCGACTTTGGTTGGCTGTGTCACTTACAAATCTGGCCTGCCCACATGACACTTGCTTCACTTTTGCTTCCTGCTCCCACATCAAAATAATGTCCCAAAGTCCTTTTTTGCAGCCGTAAGTTACTCTTGTGTGAATCCCATTTCGCGTAGTTGACCCGGTATTTATCACTCTTCCTTCTCTATCCTCATCATCTCGATTGTTCATGCGCGCATTTACACTACTGCTGTCCGTCTTGGGTCTGGCTAGGCTCGTGTTCTCATCGCCCCCCAACTTTCCTCAAAGTGGCAATGGGCTTTGGTACTCGACTCCGGGCGTTTCGTGGTGGACTGATTATCTGCCTGTTGGGAATGGATATCTAGCTGGTAGTCCAAGTTTCAACTTAGGTCATCTGCGCTGCTCGCTTAACGGACCGTTTCTCCCCGCCCGGCGCAGCCATGACACCCGGAGGAACCTCGTTTGAAGCGACTCAGCTTAACATTGAATCGCTCTGGTCAGGCGGGCCGTTCGCAGATCCGGTAAGTAGGTCACTTGCTTGGTGCTCGGTGTATCTCACGGCCGTCTAGTCATACAATGGGGGCAACCCGACTGCATCAGAGCAAGGCACTCTAGCCGAAGACATGCAAACTATTCGCGAGACGATCTTTCAGAGCGCGATCGGAGAAATAGACAGTAAGTCTTGCAAGTCCGACAGCGGCTATGATCGTCTAATTTGAAATATAGATATCGACGTTCTCACAACGGATGCTGGTGCATACGGTGAGAGGATCTGCTGCACATTTATCTGATTTTAATTTACCGAGAGCAGGCTCATACTCGGGTGCCGGGTATTTATTGACCACCTTGGCTACGACGGGAAACATCACTGGTTATTCTAGATGGTTGGACATGGACCAGGCCGTGGCACATGCTACCTGGTCCCAATCAAAAGCCACCTTTACTCGGTTATTTGTGTACTCCTCCGCACTTGTCTCAACTAACACATGTCTTTAGGGACACTTTCTGCTCCCACCCAGCAAAATCATGCGTTCAACATCTATCGACTACTGGTACAGTGATACCAGAAATCACGTACGCTTTTTCGCCATTCCTCGAGACCGCGACTGGGCTTCCCCAACCCAACGTCACTTGTCTCGACAATGCTACTCTCGTTGTCCTTGGTCTCGTCTCAGACCCCGGAATGTTATACGAAATCATTGGTCGCGCCCAAGCTACTACGTCGAATGGCTCAGTTTCGATACAATGCAAATCTGCACCTAGTAGTAACCCTACCGACGGCTCTTCTAACGCAACTGTGACTGTATCGGGAGCCTCTGTGGCGTGGTTTTCTTGGGTCGGGGACACCAACTATGACATGGAGGCAGGCGATGCAGCTCATAAATTCACTTTCCAAGGACCTGATCCGCACGTCACTCTGCTCACCGAACTGCAAGGGACCTCAGCACCAACATATCAGTCTCTGCTCTCCTCCCATACATCTGACTATTCATCGTTTGTTTCAACCTTCCAGCTTTCTCTTGGCCAAGTCCCCGATCTCTCTGTTCCTACGGATCAGCTTAGAGCCGCTTACAAGACCGATGAGGGGGACGTCTATCTCGAATGGCTGCTGTTCAATCTCGGGCGTTATATGCTGGCAAGCAGTTCTCGTGGATTGTTGCCTGCTAATCTGCAGGGAAAGTGGTTGAGTGATTACAGTGGGCCTTGGAGCTCGGGTCAGTAACGCGATTACGTTGGTTTTTGTAAGCCAGAGAAAACTAATCACTGGACGTTTTAAATTTAGACTATCGTGAGTCCGAGATCATTATACCGTGGTCTTTCTTGCCTTATCATTGTCGCAGACTCAAACATTAACATTCAAATGAATTACTGGATGGCTGAGATGACCGGAATGGATGTCACTGATTCATTGTTCAACTACATTCAAGTATGTCTTACCATTTTCAAATCCTCGCCCAATATATAATGTAAGAATCCTTGGCCAGAACACCTGGGCCCCTCAAGGCGCATATACAGCTGAAGTTTTATACAATATCTCAAGTGGCTGGGTAACCCACGACGAGGTGAGTGCTTCCCACTTCGAAGACTACACCTTTGAACATTTTTCTCTCAGATGAATGTACGTACACGACTGGGATCGTGATAGCAAAAAAAAACACTGATTCGGCTGTCCAGATTTTTGGTTCAACGGGAATGAAGGCAGAACCAGGCTCCAATCCAGCCCAGTGGGCCGATTACCCTGGTAAGTAAATGTCGCACAATGATTCTCAAACTCATACCCAACAAAAACGGCCTCCAGAATCTGCTGTGTGGATGGTTAGTGGCGCATTGAATGTTGTGAATCGAATTGCATTTAAGAAATAAGTATAGATGATTCACGTCTGGGATCATTTCGACTACACAAACAACGTGACTTGGTGGAAGGCTCAAGGCTGGCCTCTGGTCAAGGTCGGTAGTTTCATGATAGTACACGTCCCTCCAGTGACAAATTATATTTAACAGGGCGTTGCAAGCTTCCACCTGGATAAGTTGATCCTTGATTTGCATTTTAACGACTCTACTCTGGTCACAAATCCTTGTAACTCCCCTGAGCAAACGCCCATCACATTTGGTAATATGACATCCATGCTATCTTATAGGAAATAATATTGATTTTGGATTCTCAGGTTGCGCTCACGCCCAGCAGTTGATCTGGCAGCTATTCAATGCTATCGAAAAGGGCTTTCAGGCAGCAGGAGACACGGATACTGCTTTCTTGCAGGGTACACCCTTTTATTTTACTCGTCCTGGACTATTTCTCAAGTGTTGAGCAGAAGTACTGCAGAAGCGCGCTCAAATGGACAAGGGCATTCGTATTGGCTCATGGGGACAGCTGCAAGGTCAGCATCCCGGATGTTCCGTGTGTCTTGCGAACAGCTGCTGAAGCAATATTCCATCTAGAATGGAAAGTTGAGAAAGACCAAAAAAACGACACGCATCGGCATCTCTCGCATCTAATCGGGTTGTATCCTGGCTATGCGCTTACAAATTACGATGCGTCAATTCAAGGTGGTCTCGTCAGCAACGGGACCCAACTCAACTACACCAGAAGCCAAGTCCTGGACGCGGCGGAGATCAGTCTGATACATCGCGGAGATGGCACAGCTGCCGATGGGGATGCAGGATGGGAGAAGGTGTGGCGGGCAGCGTGCTGGGCCCAGCTCGGCAATGCGACTGCCTATTACCACCAGCTCACGGTAGGCCTCGCTTTCTAGCCACTCGTAACAGAGCCTGTACTGACCTCCCGACCTAATCAGTATGCCATCGCAACAAATTTCGCTCAGAATCTGTTCAGCATGTACAATGCGTATAGCCCTTCCGACACGCTATTCCAGATTGACGCGAACTTGGGATATCCTGCGGCAGTACTCGTACGTAGCGTATTCAAACGAGCGCGTGCAGATCCGCTGATGTTGTGATTTACCAGAATGCTCTGTTGCAAGCACCCGATGTGGCAAATCAAGGAACTGCTCTTACGGTTACTCTTCTTCCGGCCCTGCCTGCGAAATGGTCATCCGGTTCTATCGCAGGTGCACGAATCCGTGGAGGGGTGGCAGTTAGCATGAAATGGAGCAAGGGAAAGCTCCAGACTGCTAGCTTCGTCGCTGGTAGCAGCGCTACTGGCAGGAATGTCATCGTGGTCTATCTTGGAGCCACTGTGGGCCAGTTCGTCGCCACACCGGGGACGACGAAGTCGCTAAGCTTTGCATGATGTTGATAGGTTGATTGTACAAATGTACTCAGGCGTGTGTTCTTTAAATTTTATCGAAGCTCCAAAGCGGTTCGAAGCTGCTTACTCCAAGATGCGGAAGGCAAACCGCAAATACCCGCATTATTAAGCCCTGTATCCTACCCTTGAACAGGCGAGCCAAAATTCACTGCCACCCTCTTCGCACCAACCGAGAGGGCCGAGGTCACATTCACCACAGATTATGATCTTCAAGTTCTTCCCCAAGTCTTGAGTTGTGTCAATACAGAGACAGCAGCAGTGCGTGCAGAAATAGTTGCACGAACCTGCAGATAGCGCCTCAGCTCGTCGAGTGAAACCAACATTCTCAAAAGCGTTATACGAAGGAGTCACCAGCCACCACTGAGCTGTTTCAGGGGGCGCAGGAAGAACAGGCAGCAGGCTATGAGCAGGTATTCCAGTTGGCTCCAGCTGTGTGTAGATCCAAGCTCGATAGCTTCCACGACGCGTGGATTGCATTACCCACCTGAACACTGGCTCTCTCGACCCATTTGGCTACGCCGCCCTTCAACATCAGACTTCCACATTCCGGTCGTGGGCAAGTGATGGCGTATTTGTTGGTCGAAGAACCAGTATTGTTGGGATCTGCACAGACTTCTAGCACATTTTCAAACGAGTTGAGGAGACGAGATGCAGAATTGTTCGTAGGGCGCTGCAGTGCTTCCAATAAGCCAGGAGGGAGAGATTGTGTTGTTTCAGCAGACATGGAAGGTGACGTCGGGACAGAAATCGTTGCGATCAAATCACGATTGGCCAAGGACTTGCAACTGAATGCGCCCGGCGGTTGCGCAAGACCCAACCAAGCTGATCCGAATACTTGGTGATCTGCGCTCGAGCTCCACTTGTCTCAAGGAACTCACACTACGGTTCCTGAATTAAATGGCCCTCCCTACCCCGACAGCAGACTCGTATGGTTTCTCGGCGATACTTGGAACGTTGCTGATTCGGATATGCCAGCTCATCGCATTTTTCGACGCCGACAGCGTGCCTTCTCAGGCCTTCTTGGCGTATACAGTGTGCCTGCCGACGCCTATCATTGAGGCAGCTTGTCACGGTATCAAAGCCTGATGACCTGTGTAAGCATGATACGAACTGGGGTGCTGGCGCTATGACAGCGGCGAGGCCTATATATGTCCACTTCCTTGCTCTTCAGGGGAAGAACATTGACAGAGGTAGAGCAGAT